AGCCTTGCCTCTGTGTTTCAGTATTTGTTATCAAAACGTAAGATCCATTTGTGTTTTGATCAGCTGTGTGCTGCTAACCGTTGTCATGGTAACAAGAGCCAGTGGACATTTTTAGCACCATACTGCTCATGGTCACAGGACCTTAAAAACATTGCAGGGTCGGCGTTGTGGTGTAGCGGGTTAAGCCACCGCCTGCGAAGCCAACATCCCTTAAGGGCACCAGTTCGAGTTCCAGCTGCTCCACCTCCAGTCTAGCTCCCTGCTAGTGCGCGTGGGAAAACAGCAGAAGGTGGCCCAAGTGTCCGGGCCCCTGCACCCACGTGGGAGACCTGGAAGAAGCTCCCGGTCTCTGGCTGGTCTGGGCCAGGCCTCAGAAGACCTGGGCTAAATCCTGCCTTCAGTTCCAACCAGCTCTTGGATCTCACGGAAGTTCCTGCATGTTCCTGAACTACTTATTTACTGCTTTTGAGATTTTGAAATGGGGATAATAAGTGAGGAAACGTGAGTAAAAATACTTTGACATATTTACACCAACAAAATAGCAGGCACCATCCTGTGTCTGTGGGTCTAAACCATGCAGTGTGGTCAGCACTGTGGTGCTGCGGCGTCAGCCACTGTAACACTGGCATCCCATAGCAAGTCCAGCTCCCTGCTAGTGTGCCTGCAAACGTGGTCTTGCTGTTTAAATTAATGTTTGTTTTGAAAGATAGAGTTACAGAGAAAGAGAGCGCTTCCATCAACTGATTCACTCCCCAAATGGCCAAAGCTGAGCCCATCTGAAGCCAGAAGCCTGGAGTTTCTTCCTGGTCTCCCACGTGGGTGCAGGGGACCGAGGACTCAGACCATCTTCTCCTGCTTTCCCAGGCCATAGCAGAGAGCTGGATCAGAAGTGGAGCAGCTGGGACTAGAATCAGCGCCCATGTGGGATGCGGGCACTGCAAGTGGCGGCTTTACCCGCTATGCCACAGCACCGGCCCCTATTTGTTATTTTTTTATTTGAAAGGCAGAGAGAGAGAGAGACAGAGATCTTCCACCTGCTGGCTCACTCCCCAAATGCCCACAACAGCCAGGGCTGGGCCAGGCCAAAGCCAGGAGGCTGGAGCCCCATCCAGAGCTCCCATGTGGGCAACAGGCACTCAGGTCCTTGAGCCGCCGCCCGCTGCCTTCCCAGGGTGCCCAGTAACGAGAATCCAAACTCAGAAGCAGAGCCGGGCCATGAAGCCAGATGCTCCAAGATGGTATGCAGGCCTCCAGGCAGCATCTCAGCCACCAAATGCCCAGCACCTATCAGATTTCTCGATACACAGAAAACACTTAATTCTACAGCCACCAAGACCTCTCAAGTGTCTCTCTGAGGAAGCTAGTATCTGCAGTGTCGTAAATACGTTCCTTATTACATTTACAGTGTGATGTTTCCTCTCCTTTCTCCTACCTCCATGCACTTTTTTAAAAATTTTTTTTATTTGACAGGTGGAGTTATAGACAGTGAGAGAGAGACACAGCGAGAAAGGTCTTCCTTCCTTTGGTTCACCCCCTAAATGGCCGCTAGGGCCGGCCGGCGCTGTGCTGACCCAAAGCCAGGAGCCAGGTGCTTCTCCTGGTCTCCCATGCAGGTGCAGGGCCCAAGTACTTGGGCCATCCTCCACTGCACTCCCGGGCCACAGCAGAGAGCTGGACTGGAAGAGGAGCAACTGGGACTAGAAGCCGGCACCCATATGGGATGCCAGTGCTGCAAGGCGGAGGATTAACCAAGTGAGCCATGGTGCCGGCCTCTTCATGCAGCACTTTTTTTTTTTTTTTTTTGACAGACAGAGTGGACAGTGAGAGAGAGAGACAGAGAGAAAGGTCTTCCTTTTGCCGTTGGTTCACCCTCCAATGACCACCGCGGCCGGCGCGCTGCGGCTGGCGCACTGCGCTGATCCAATGGCAGGAGCCAGGTGCTTCTCCTGGTCTCCCATGAGGTGCAGGGCCCAAGCACTTGGGCCATCCTCCACTGCACTCCCTGGCCACAGCAGAGAGCTGGCCTGGAAGAGGGGCAACCGGGACAGAATCCGGCGCCCCGACCGGGACTAGAACCCGGTGTGCCGGCGCTGCAGGGTGGAGGATTAGCCTATTGAGCCGCGGCGCTGGCCCTTCATGCACTTTTATAAAAGCATTTTTTAGGGGCCGGTGCTGTGGCATAGTGGTTAAGCAGCTGTCTGCAGTGCTGACATCCCATATGGGAGTGGGTTCAAGTCCCAGCTGCTCTACTTCTGATCCAGCTCTCTGATAATGTGCCAGAGAAAGTAGGGGAGGATAGACCAAATGTACCCTGTCACCCATGAGAGATACCAAGTCTGCTCATCTGGGGAGTGAATCAATGGATGGAAGACTTTCTAGTTTCTCTGTATTTCTCTCTCTCTCTCTTTCACTCTGCCTTTCAAATAAGTAAATAATATTTTTTAAGTTTATGGAAAAGTTTATTACAAAAGAACATTGCATGAATTGGAAAATTTTTCCAAAATAGACTTATTTTTAATTCCATTTTTCTATGAGCTTTTTGAAGTACCCCCTATAGCCTCGTGGCGTCCATTTTGTTGTTTCTCAAAAACAGATTTCTTTGTCAGATATTCTCACATTTGTTGTTTTTTTAAAGGTTACTCTTTTTTAGCTTTTCCTTTTTTAAAAAGACTTATTTGTTTATTTGAAAGGCAGAGTTACACACAGAGAGAAGGAGAGGCAGAGAGAGAGAGAGAGAGGGAGAGAGAGACAGAGACAGAGAGAGAGAGAGAGAGAGGTCTTCCATCCGCTGGTGCCCTTCTGAGGTGGCCACAATGGCTGGAGCTGCATTGATCCAAAGCCAGGAGCCAGGAGCTTCCTCCAGGTCTCCTGTATGGGTGCAGGGGCCCAAGGACTTGAGCCATCCTCTACTGCTCTCCCAGGCCACAGCAGGGAGCTGGATCAGAAGAGGAGCAGCCGGGACTGGAACCGGCGCCCTATGGGATGCCAGCGCTGCAGACGGCAGCTTTACCTGCTCTTTCAGGTATTGAGTGCATTCTTACATTTTCGCCGAGCTTCTTCCTGGGTTTACACATGATCCACATGGCCGCACACACACACATGTGTACACGTATGCAAGCTTCTTCCCAGACATCCACATGGTACACACGGCAGTGCATACATGCACACGTATGTACACACATACAGGGAATCTCCGGCCAGGCACTGCCAGTGATAGGGAGGGCAATCATTTATTCACATTCACTTTGTGATATCTTACAAACTACTGAGGCTTTTTGTTAATTAATTAGTTATAATTTTGGCTGGTTGGTTGGGATTTTGAGGTGGATGACTTGCAGTCAGCTGATGATAGGCATTTTTCTATTTCTTTTGCATGTCTTATTGCACTGGCTACAGGTCCTACAACAGTGTTAGAGAGGCGGGTGAGAAGGGACCTCCCCATGGCCTCGCTGGTAACTAGAGCGTTATCCACCTTAGTCCTTGCTCGGGGGCTGATGTGCGGCCTCACACAGAGGAAGCACCCAAATACCGCCCTGTGAGAGAACGGGGCCTTGCAAACTGAAGCTCTCTGACCCTTTTCAAGCCCTAGCAAATTCTCTGCTCTCCTGACAAACTCAGTCTCGTCTTTTCTCGAGAAATGAATTAAACGAACATGAATCGCACCTTCATTGAAGCCGTCCTCGCTGGGTTTTATTTACTGGATTTGTCACGGAACACTTCCTGTTTGTCCATTTGCAATGAGGAAAGAGAGGGAAGTGAAGGCGGGAACAGGGCTCCTGCCAAGGCCCCTGCGCGGTGGGATGGGATGACGTCACCCCGCCCCCTCCCCGCTGCTGTCCTAGCCGCGTTCTGCTGGTGGCCTGACGCTGCTGCGCTGGGACTGGAAGTCGCAGCAGGCACCGGGCTGATTTCTCCTCCGGCGAGATCCGGCGTTGACTGCGACGGGGCTTTATCCTCGCTGTGGCGGCAGAACTTCTCTGCAGTTTGCAGACTACAACCACGAGTCTGGTTGGTGTTTATTTTGATTCTCGAGGACACACAATAGCAGTTTTCTATTATATGGTCCCGGGGGAGGCAGTTATCCCGTGAGCGGTGTGTGCGGATTTCTTTGAAACTTTCATTGTTTTATTACGGCCTGGACTGGCCGCTGCCGGGTTTTGGAAAACCATCCATGCCCCCTGCTGCACGAAAGGTGGCATTTGTGTGTTTGCCCCCCTCTTTTTATTAAAAAGTCATTTATGTATGTCTTTCATTTGTTTGGGGGGGCAGACATCTCTCATTTGCTGTTTCACTTCCCAAATGCCCACGGCAGCGAAGGCTGACCCAGAAGATTGGAACTCAATCCAGGTGTCCCCCCGCTGGATGACAAAGACCCAACTACCTGGAGCCCTACCGCTGTCTCCCAGGGTGTGCGTCGGCAGGAGCTAGAGCCGGGAACAGATCCAGGCCTGGAACCGAGGCACTCTGCTGTGCCACGCAGGTGGCCCATGCGGCATCATCACACCGTGCAGTGTGCCTGTCCCTGGCCTCTCCCTGGGGGGTCTGTAGTGTCCCCTGGACCAGCATCGGCAGAACCTGTGTCTGATGAGACCTTGGCCAAGAGGCCGAGTCCCAGCCACAGACTCACAGTGCATGAAGACAAGTCCCACAACGAAGACCGGGGTTTCCCACACAGGACACCGCACGGCTTCCCTCTACTGAACACCATGGTCAGGTCTGCGAAACGCTTTGGAAACCCGCACCGCCCTCACCCTCATCTCACCAAAGAATCACCACTTCCATCGTGAGCGGAGAATTGAAATCATCTCAGAATGTCACGCAGACTGCTAGAACTTCTTTATGACTGTGGCTGAGCCGATGGTACCATCGCTGAGTAAATAGACCCCTAACAACAGGCACACGTGTCTCCCTCCTCTGTGAGCCCAGCCACTGTCTCTTTGTTGTTTTCAGAAACTGTGAAACTTCCAAGTTACTCTTTTGTTTTAAAAAAGAGTTATTCATTTATTTGAAAGAGTTACAGAAAGACAGAGGGAGAGAGAGATCTATTTGCTGGTTGCAGAAGCCAGGAACCTGGAACTCCATCTGGGTCTCCCACGTGGGTGCAGGGGCCCAAGGACCTGGGCCATCTTCCACTGTGTCAGCAGGGAGCTGGATCAGAAGTGGAGCAGCAGGGACTTGAACCGGTGCAGGGGCAGCCTAACCCCCTGCGCCACAATGCTGGTCCCCTTCCCAGTTATTCTTGAATCCTTGAACCCTTGTTTCTTGCTGACTGTTGAGGGGAGGGTTCTGGGGCCAGCTGGGCGGCTACTGTGGTGGGGGCTGCTGCAGTGAGGGGTACGGCACACTCAGGCCTCACTGGGCCCCAGTGGTCCTGGCGCCGCTGTCCTGTGTGGATCAAATCTGGGTTCTCCCCAACACCGCATGCCTGCCCCCGTCTGGACAAGCTGCCGGAGCTCCTGGGGAGGTTTTTCTTCTTCAGTTTGGCTCCTCCTGTGTCCCCCTTTTTCTCACCAGGGCAAGCATTTCCCAGTGTGCTGTGGGGTGCCAGGAGCCCAGAGTGGAGCCCTGGACCCCCAGAGAGAGCGCGCAGCACCGTGGCCAGGTGGCAGCGAGCCCCAGGACCCCGGACTCCTCTGCCTGCATCCACAGGGCTCCTCGGTGCGCTCAGGCAGAATGCAGTTCTCAGAGCAATTCTGGGGAGGGTCTTTTCATCCGTCCCTCCCCACCCCCACGCCACCCCCGTGATTGGTGGGCAGAGACTTCTGAACTCCAGTGTCAAGGACCACCTCTCGCTGGAAGTCTTAGCCCGCTCCTCCCTCCTCCTCCGTCAGCTGCTCTGTGAGCAGGTGCTGTCCCCTGGCCAGCTCCATCCTCCCTCCCGCTCCTCCTCTGCTCCCAAAACTCCGGAAGCGGCTTCAGGCCTCACAGGGGGTTGCAGCACCCTCCAGATGGGCCCCGCCTGCAAACTCCTCCCCACCCAGCCTCTGAGAACCTGAGGAGCAGACCCAGTCCTACCTCCTCCAGGCTGGCCACCAGCACAGACTGTTTTCCTTGCTGGGAGCTAGTTCCTCGGCCGGGAGGGTCCACGGCCATGGAGAAGCGGGTGCAGGTGTCGTTAAACCAGCTTCCGGCTGCAGAGCGAGCTGAGTTTGAGCTGCAGATAACTCAGCGTGCAGTCGGCTGCGTCTTCCCGTCGCTGGAAGGACCTGCTGAGCCACGACAGCCTTCTCACCCCTGCAGCAAGGGTTCCCAAACAGGGGCGTGGCCTTGGGAAAGGAACCCAGGGACTCACTTGAGGTGCGGTGGCAGGTGCCCTGTGAGGATTGCCCTCCTGCGTCCGCGTCTCAAAGTGCAGCCGCACTCACCCTTAGGAGCTCCGCATCCCTGCTTTTAGATTGCGTAGAGGATCCGCAGTGACAAGTCCTCGGGAATGCAGGAGCCGCACCTACTGCTGTGAGCACTCCGGCTTCTGACCCTTCCCATCGTGGCAGGGGTGCGGGGAGAGACGGCTTCCACTTCCCAAAGCCACGGGGGAGCCATCAGCCCAGACTCCCATGGGTGCCCTCCCTCGTGGGTGCACCTAGATGGAGAGTGGACATCAGACAGAGCAGCGAGCTCTGTGCCACCCCCACCCCCAGCCTCAGCAATGCTGGTTCTTTCAGGTAAAGGGGTGAGGGCTTCCCTCACATTCACAAAGAGGCGCTGTGCCCTGCACACACACAGGATGGGGGTGGAGTCCAGGTCTTCCTTCCGTTGGTTCACCCCCCGAATGGCCGCCATGGCCGGTGCTGCACCAATCCAAAGCCAGGAGCCAGGTGCTTCCTCCTGGTCTCCCATGTGAGTGCAGGGCCCAAGCACCTGGGCCATTCTCCACTGCCCTCCCAGGCCACAGCAGAGAGCTGGACTGGAAGAGGAGCAGCCTGGACAGAATCCAGTGCCCCAACAGGGACTAGAACCTGGGGTGCCGGCGCCGCAGGTGGAGGATTAGCCTATAGAGCTGCGGTGCCGGCTTCAATATATCTTGCTTTTCTCTTTGCCTTGTCTGCTTGGAAATTCTTCTTCCATGTGAGACAGGGAACCGGGATAATCGCTTCACCACCTCTGCTGTTTCACCCCTAAGGCCAGTAAGTAGGGAGCTGGGCCTTGGGCCACCCTGGGTGTGGCTCACTGCAGGATCACCCAGAGCTTTCGCCAGGCACTGCCAGCAACAACAAACTTACCAGTGCATGGGCACCTGGTGTGCGGGGATGTGGGTGGTGCGTGGGTGTTTGTGTGTGGGTCTGTGTGTGTGTGGGCACAGGTGTGCCCAGGTGGGTAGTGTGGCTTTCCCTGGATGCCCCGCTGGGTGGCGCTACAATGCAGGTGTCCTCCCAGGTCCCTGCGGGCTTCCCTCTGGGTCAGCAATCTACCAGCCTCTGTCCTGGCCACCTGCCTCGCCCCCACAGTTCTCACAGTTGACCTCCAGGAGTTGACTCCAGGACCAGACACTTCCTAGGTCGGCTGTCAGGGGAGGCTCTGGAACACCGGCAAGAGGATGGCGGCACTGGGGTATTTGTGATAGCCCCGGGTGGGCCGAGCGCCACTGGCCCGCAGGGTCCCATCCGGAGCAGGCGGCCCTGGAGAGAAAAGCAAAGAAAGACAGAGAGGGGTGTGCTGGTGACAGCCTGTGGTGCAGCTCGGAAAGAAGAGCAAGGATTGAGACACAGGGAGTCGCCTCGCCCCTTCCCAGAGCCCGAGAGGGGGGGGGGGCTTTTCCTTTAGAGCAGCCGCAAACAGAAACAAACGCTTCGCTCCTTCTGCAAAGAACCCTCTTCCCATCCACGCACAGGGCGGCCTGGCCCTGCTTCCAGGGCCACTCCTGGGCTCTGGGCTGCCATTGTTTGTTTGTTTGGTGAGGAGGGGGGTTTGCTGCTCCCCTCCCCCAACCCTGCTAAATCCCCAGGGCCTCAGCCTTCCGGAGGAGGGGACTTCAAAGGGCCCGGCCTGTGCCCTGCTTAGCTCCGGCAATGCCCAGCAACCAGGGAACTTGAAAGGGAGCCTCGGCAACTCCCTCGAGAAATCACCAACAATTCTGCACCTCCTGGTCGTGCCAGGAAGGCCCGGGGAGATGCTCGCTGCTCCTGACTTGGGGCCGGTTTTTAACAAGCACCGAAACTGCACTAACAAGCCCTACTGTCCACAGCATCTGGAAAAGTCTGTCCTTCAAGGCAAAGCTCAGCTGAGAAACCGGGCCCCGGGGGGGTGGGGAGCAACTCAGCCGAGATCATCGCCTTGGAAAATAATTAGCTGGAACCCTCGCCGAGCTGCATCATCGGGAAATCGCATTTCTTTGAGTTGCTGGGAAGCACAGCAGAAAAACCGGAGCAGGTTGAGACTGACGTCCTGGGTGAGGGTTTCTGGGGAAAACGACCGGAAGTTGCTCAGTGCTAGGGTTTTCTGCACAGTGGAGCACGAAGGTCTGAACCAGCTCGGCCTGGAAGAGGGCTTCACTTTACTGGAGAGATGCAGCGCCCAGCGACGCCTGCACACACACACACACACATGCATGCACACACACACGCATGTGACCCTGCACATAGGCACATACACATGCAATGCACACGGGTGCACATGCATGCACACACATACCCACACATGTGACCCTGCACATAGGTACATACACATACAATGCACACGGGTGCACATGCATGCACACACATTCGTGCACATACATACCCACATATGTGACCCTGCACATGGTGCACATGCATGCATGTACACACACACAAACACACACACCCACACATGAGACCTGCACATAGGCACATACACATGCAATGCACACGGGTGCACATGCATGCACACACATTCATGCACATACATACCCACATATGTGACCCTGCACATAGGCACGTACACATGCAATGCACATGGTGCACACACGTGCACACACACACATGCATGAACACACACTCAGCCCTAAGGAGTCCAATCAAGAACTCCCTTCCTGCTGAGCAGAAAACGCTAACCCAGGCCCCAGTTACAGTGCGTAGGGCTGAGCTGCCCCTGGCCACACAGGCATCCCATACTGGAGCACTGGTTCCAGGCCTGCTCGCTCCATTTCCCACGTGGCTTCCTGCTGGTGCACCTGGAAAAGCGGCGGGGGATGGCCCAAGAGCTTGGAGCCCTGCACCCGAGTGGGAGACCCGGATGGAGTTCCTGCAGCCATTCGGGGGGTGACAAAGCAGATGGAGGTGCCCTTTCTGTCTCTGTCTCTCCCTCTCTCTGTGTCACTCTACCTCTCAAATAAATAAATAAATACATGAAGCTGTCCTGGGGAGGGGGGACCTGCAACCCACAGAAAAGCACAGCAGACGCCCAGCAGTGCACTCAACAGTCAGTCAGGGACTTTCTGTTCTTTGGATCTGCTGTTGCCAAAAAGCAGAGGCTTGAGCCAAGCAGGGGGCAGGGGCAGCCACAGGGAGGGGCTCAGGGAGTAGAGATAAGGCCTCCAGGAAGGTCCATCCCACTCTGCCAGGCCTCTGGGGATCCGCTCTGTTTATTTTCCTTTGGGACAAGTGGTGCGAATTCTTGGTTCAGTGTGAAGACAGTCTGGGCTGCAAGGGGTCACGTGGCCCTGCAGAACCTGCGGCCACAGTGAGGCTCAGGATGGAAAATGCCCCGGACCCCGCCCAGCACCCAGGGAGCAGCCCCCGGAAGCCGAGGCTCCTCCTAACTACGCATCTCCTGCTGCTCTCTTTGGCCCTGGAGGGAGACAGGCCCCTACGTACAAAGAGACTAAAATGTAGGTTTCTCTGGGTTCATAGGTAGGCAACCGCCAAGCACTCCTGTGCCAGTGTTTCGGATAGTACCATTCTGTCACCTCAACCCGCATTTCTGCGTGCAGTTCTAAGTATAGTCTTATTTCCTAAGAGGTTTCTCTGTCTCCAATAAGTCTCATAGAAAACCTACAAACTACTGCACTCAGTTTGAGTTTTGTTATTCTGCTATGGGCCACCACTCTCCCTGGACTGTGAAATACAGGAAACCTGAGCAGGACAGAAAGGCAACCTACCTCCTGCCAATGTGCATGTGAAATCCTTTGTTTATGAAGATAATCCAGGGGCTTTGGGGCTGCCTGCAGATAAGGAAACGTCCTATGCGCGTTTGAAAACAAAAACACACACATCGGCTCACCCTGGCATGGAAACCTGCCACCTGCCTTATTAATGGTGTCACAGGGGCTATTTCTCACTGGTTTAACCTGTTCCCAATGCTGTGCCCTCAGGTTCCTTCATATACAGATATAGCAATGGATTAATGTACATGTATGTACACGTAATATACATATAATTAATGTACATATAATGTAATGTACGTATATGAAAGACAATGGTGCAATGGGATTTTGCAAGTCAGCATCATTCCATATTGATGCTATTTTTCCTTAGGATAAAGCATAGGATTGCTGGCCCAGAGGATATGGACATTGTTCAGTGTTGATGGCTTTACATTTTTCCTTTTCCTATGGCTTTCCGGGGTACCCCTCCCAACGTGCCCATCCAGGTCCCTGGGAGCTGTCCCTCCTCACGGTCCTGCCCATCCTGAGTTTTCATCAATCTCAGAGGAAAATGCCCTAAAAGTCAGCACTGGTTGTGCCCTAAATGAGGTGGTGCACCTGTTGTGTTGTCTTCTCCATAATGTTCTTTAATTTCCAGTGGCTCCACTGTAATAATAGACTATTTTATAAATTATTTACATGAAGCCTTAGTGTTAAATTAGCTTTCAGAGGTGAGGGAAATTGCTTGTGATCAGAGATTTAGGAAGATTTACTGTGGGGCCAGTGCTGCGGAAAGCTAGGTTAAGCTTCTGCCTGCTGTGCTGGCAACCCCACATGGGCACCAGTTCAAGTCCCAGGGGCTGCACGTCTGATCCAGCTCTCTGCTGAGGCCTGGGAAAGCAGTAGAAGATGGCCCAGGTGCTGGGGCTCCTGCACCCACGTGGGAGACTCGAAAGAAGCTCTGGGTTCCTAGCTTTGGCTTGGCTCAACCCCAACTGTTGTGGCCATTCAGGGAGTGAACAGATGGAAGATCTCTGTCTCTCTGTTACTGGTGAATGGCAGGGTTCTTGTCTTCACGCAAGAAAGAATTCAGGCGTGAGATAGACAGTAGTGGGAGGTAAAATAGCAAGGTTTATTAGGGAAGGGACATCCGTAAGGACGGTTGGGCACCTCTCCAGACAGGACCTGAGAGAGAGTGCGCAGTCGCTCAGACTGGGGTGGGGGGGGGGGGAGTGAGGTTCCATGGTTGAGTGGAGAGAGTACACCTGGCCAGGCAGACGGGCGGCTCAGCAGAGAGGCAGAGGGCTGAGCGGGCAGTCCAGTTGAGGCCGGAGGTTTTTAAGGAGATGGGTCTCTGTCTTCACACATCTCCTCCTGAAACAAAGGACTTTATGGCTGTAAATATTAAGAAGCTCCTATCTGAGTTTTCCCTTGAAGGTATCAGACAGGAGGAAGCCTAGCTGGTGCAGTCCTGGGTTCAGAGGAAGGGTGAGCAGGACCCCCTGGAGAATGGGGATCCTGAGCAGGGTGTTTGAAATGCAGATACTGGGCTGCATCTGGGAGATTGTGGAAGATTTGTCAGGCAGAAGGGACGGGGACCCCCACCTGGCAGGTTATCGGATAGGAGGGGGCAGGGCAGGATGCGGACACGGGGCTGCCCCTGAAACGTTATCGGGATGACTTTGAGATGCAGATGCAGATGCTGGACATAGACGTCTTCTCTTTAGGCCTTTATGTCACACACACATAAGCTCATATCTGACTTCCCACCTAATATCTCCCTCTCTCTGTAACTCTGCCTCTTAAATAAATAAATAAATCTTAAACAACAAAAAATGGGTTAGTGAAGATTGCAATGCAGGAAAAGAGGGGTAGAATAGGCAAAAAGTCTTGAAAGTCTAAGATTCACAGAACAGGGTGATGTGGGTGACAACAGGCAGCCAGCCAAGAGTTCTGCCCCTGGAAGACCCCGGATGACGGGGTTGAAGGCTAAGACTTCCAGCGCCCTGCGGGAGAGGCGGAGCTGGGAGAGCCAGCCCTGAAACAGCTTCCCAGTCCCGGGCAAGAGGTGATGAGGGCTTGAACCGCACAACGCCAGGGGCTGCACACGGAGACAATCGCAACCCTCGGTGAGGGACGGGGAGGCGAGGGACGGGGAGCTGGGCGGTGCAGACGCCGCTGCAGCTCCCCGCGCAGGAGCAGCTCCACTGGGCTCCAGCAGGTTTTTCCAGCTCAGCTCTTTGTGAAAAGTAAACGCCAGCAGGGAAGGCCCGGGTGTGTTGCTTGATTCCTCCCTGGACAGAGGTCAGAGGTCAGAGGTCGTGCTGGGCTGGGCTGGGGCGGGGCTGGCGGAGCAAGGGTGATTTCAGCCCCTGGGAGCATTGTGCTTTTCCAAAAAATGCAAGTTTCATTTGTAGGTCAGTGTTTTTCAAGAAGACAAAGCAATCCCAATTGAAGAGGAAGAAAAATAACACAGAAGCCGCCGACCCCTTCACTCAGTCACCCAGAACGTGGCGGCCGGACCAGCACCGTCCCTTGGTCCTCGTTTCTTTTCTCTGGGCCAAGTGCATTTCTGCCGTTGTCCTGTCCACTTCGGAGCCCTGTCCCAGCGGCTGAACAGGGTAGCACTGTGAAGATTCCTGGGCAGCCTCTGGCCACAGACAACGTGCCCCGTCCTCCCGACCACACGGGGTCATTTTCTGCACCTGCTGGCAGACGCTGGCCAGCTGCGGGGGCTGTGGTGTTCTCCAGGCAAAGGGGGAACAGTCCAAGGGCTCAGAGTAAGAAACAACAAAGACCATAAAACCTGGTGCCATTAGCATTCCAGCTGCTCTGGATTCAACCAGGGAAGACCACGCCCCCAGGCCCACTCCCCAGTGGCGTGGGAAGCGGAGGGTGCTGCAGCCACAGCCCAATGGCAGCCCCTGGGCGTGGGTTCCATGACCCTCCCCATACCAAAATCCAGAACTGCCCAAGCCCCTTACATACAGGGGCTCGGGATTTGCTTGGACACCTATCTCGTGTCTCAGACCCACTTCCTGCACCTGCCACTCCTCAAAGTTCAGCTTAAATATGCAGGGTGCCAGCAAGCTATAGGTTAGGGTAACATGTCCCGAAAACTGCCAGTCTTGCATAAGCAAACTCATCTGTAGGACAAGAGACAAGGGACGTGGTCCTCGTGAAACCAAACCCAGATCCGAGCGCCCCTATGCCGCGAGGAGTTTGTCACCAGGACCCAGCGGCCCAGCCTCCAGCCTCACCCTTCCTTAGCGCTGCTAACTAGCCCACTTGCTAACTCAGTGAATGGAGGGAGGGTGCAAGAGGCCCAGGCCAGGCCTGTTATCTCAAAGGGTCTCCTGTCCAGGGAGGTCTAGCTGAGGTCAGGAAGCAGCTACCACCGGCTCGAAGCCCCTCATCATGAAGAATGTGATACTGCTAAAAGGCCGAGAGCACTTCTGACCAACTGGGACCTGGGCCAGAGCAGAACCAGCGCAGCCCCTCCTCTCCCGACTGAACCAGGAGGTCCACGGCCCGAAGCAGTGGCTGCCTGGCTCCTTGCTCTGCGCTTTACAAAGCAGCACCTGCTTTCTTCCACCGCCCAGAGACCAGCGATTGGTTTTCTGGGCGTCAGGGGAATGCACCCCGTGAGGGGGCCCTACAGCAGCTCCTGCAGACCTGTCCACCCTGCCCCCACCCCGCCCTGCCCCCTGCGAGTGTTTCCCATCATTTGTCAGACATTTCTCTGCTAATCTCCTCTTTATCTCCAGGGTGCTCTTGCTATTCAAAATGTTAAAGGGGATTGTTAATAATGAGCAACGGGGAAGCACACTTTCTGAAAAACATTAAAAAAAAAAAAACAGTGGAAAGAAATGCATCTGAAATTCCAAGTGCGTGCTTGGATGGTGGAGTTATGGCGCGTGCTTTCCAAGCTAGCTTTTGTGAATTTTTTTTTTAGCATGAATGTGTAACACTTTTCTGAAGCTAGTGGAGAGTACCATCAGCTTTGGGAACCAAAAAGACCACGCCGGCGAAGACCACGCCGGTGAAGCCCACGCTGGTGAAGCCCACGCCGGCGAAGCCCACTTAGTGTCCAGGCGGCCAGCACCACTTCACGGCGTGAGGAACTTGGAAACAAGCGCAGCGCGTGCTCAATCGAAGCATCTGCTGACTGCTGCCCTGCGGTAGACTCGCGCTGTGTCGGCTACAAAGCAGGAGCCGCCCTGCTGCGGTTAGCACGGGCGTGCGTACTTGGTATCAGGAAGACTTTCCCAGGGCTGGGTGAGGGCCCTGCAGGTGCACAGGAGAGGAAGCCGCCTGTGGCAGGCCAGGAGCTGCAGAGCTGCGAGGCAGGGGGGCCTGCCCGGCTTTGTTTCTGTTTTCCCTTCTCTCTCTCTCTCTCTCTCTCTCTCTCTCTCCCTCTCCCTCTCCCTCTCCTTCTCCCTCTCCTCCCAGGGCACTTCCTGGGTGTTGAGTTCCTTTCTCCTTTCAATGGATGCTAATCACATTTGGAAGCCACAGCCTCCCCAGGTTCATTGGGACCCCATATTGGGGTCTGGAGATAGCAAAGTTTCCAGTCCTGGGACACTTTTCGCCTCCTATTTTCAAACAGAGCTGCTAATTCCTGGGAGAAGAGATAAAAAAAATTTAAAAATACCATCCGCTTCGCCGCCCCCCCCCAAAAAACACCGTTTGATCAAGGGCCGTGGACCTTCATGAAAATCAGCTCCACGAAATTAAAGCCCCTTGATATGCCTCCTTCTTAGCGCAGCCACATAAAGCCCCAGGCATCCGGTTAGATCTGGTTAGGTTTGAACCTCAGATGGACAGCAAAACTGTTCTTGTTTCCAGTGTAAACATGTCCCCTTCCCACCCCAAGCACAGAGTCTTTCTCCAGTGGGAAGAGCCTGTCTCTGCGCCTTATCACTGTCACAGCGTAGATAAGAGCAGAGGTAGAGTTTGCACACAGACCACACACACACACACACACGCGCGCGCATTCGAGGCGTTTCTTCGAGGCCTGGTGATCTCGCTGTGTTTGGGTGAGGGGCACCTTCGCACAGGTGACTCCTTTGGGTCCGGTCTGTGGGACCCTGTGCAGGAACTCAGTCCAGACCTCCCACCTTCCCAGCACTTCTGTGTAGCAGCCGCTGGAGGCTGCCTGGGAGCCCAGAGAGAAGCCCCGCCCACGTAGGTCTCCGTCCTGTGACAGGCTCTGCTCTCCTGGGGTGGGGAGGGCATCTAGGGCCGCCGCTGCCCTGCCCGCTACAGAAAGTGCCTGGAGCAGCGGCCAGGTGGGTGAGCCGTGGAACGGAGCCCAGGGGAGAGGGAGAGAGAGCAGGACAGAGCGCGGCTGCCATCCCACCCCTAAACCTGCTAGTCCAGTTCCTACACCCACACAAGCGAGGTGCGAGCTTTCTTGAGCGTGTGGGGGATGGGGCAGAACTCACCTGCTCACGGGCACCGGGGACAGGAGAGGCCACACAGGAGGAGGCCCTGGCAGCTGGGACAGAGTTTGGAGTTCTGCATTTGGTATCCAATCAGTTCTTGCGCCTACCACCTGCCAGCCGGGGGGTCTTGGACAAATAGCTTAGTCCCTCTGATCGTGGGTTCCACATTTTAGAAAGAGAAGGCTAACCCTGAAGGCAGGCTCTCCAGTGAAGCGCATGTCAGCTGCCTCCAAAGGGAAGGGCTCCGTTTCTCTGAAATCCACTCTTCCTAGGAGTACACCAGGAAAGACATTCATGGAGCTCCCCACAGGCAAGCACTGTGGAGCCGGTCTTTCTGGTGTCCCCACTACTTTCAGGCGGGGAGGTGGTGCAGGGAGGAGGGGACAAGCCTAGCCAGCCTAGAACCCCCATTGCCTCTCACTGTATGTGCCTCCCCCCACCCCCGCCACACATACACCCCTGGGCCATCCATTCTCAAAGTCAACATTTTAAAAAAATGCTTATACATTTATTTTCAGCTACTTGAAAGGCAGAGTGACACAGAAAGAGAGAGAGAGAGAGAGAGAGAGTTCTTCTAGGCACTGGTTCACTCTCCGAACGCCAGCAGCAGCCAGGGGAGGGTCGAGACCAGAGCCGCAACCCAGAGCTTCATCTGTCCCCAGGGCAGATGGATGCTGGTGCCTCCCCAGGGCACTGGCAGGAAGCTGGTTAGAAGCACAGTAGCTGGGACCTGAACTGGCACTTGGTGTCCCAAGTAGAGGCTTGATCTTCCGCACTGAAAGCTATCCCAGAGCCGACTTCTGTCACGGGTCAGCGGCAAGCCATCTGTCTATTGTTGTGCACAACTGGATGACCCAGCTCCTTGACAAAGGGCCGGGTGACTTCCTGCTTCACTGAGCCCTTCAAAAGGAAACAAGGCAAATGTGGAACTTTTACCCAACTGTATCCCGAAACCTGAGTGTGCCGGCAGCGAGGACTTCCCCGGGGTGAGCTCACTGTGTCAGCTCAGATGGGTTCGTGCCAGACACCCCCAGGGAGAGCCCAGCCCAGATCCCCCGCACTGTGGGGTGGAGCTGTGGAGCGTGGTCTTCAGCTGCCTGGGGCCAGCCCGGCTCACCCGGAGCTGACGGGCGAGGGCAGAGCCCAGCACAACAGGGAGATGGAGAAGGTCTGGTGGTCTCAGAGTGGCTGCTCCCCAGACAGGAAGGGTAGCTGTAGCCATCAGCCATGGCTGTCTTCTACCCCGGAACTAGGAAGAGAGGTGCCCCCCATCCTTGGCACCGTCTAAGCCATCTGCAGGAAGCTGCACCTGGGTCACCAACAGAAGGGACTCGAGGAGTCTGTGACCTGGTGTGGCTGTGAGTGAGACCTGGTGTAGCTGTGAGACCTGGTGTAGCTGTGAATGACACCTGGTGTGGCTGTGAGTGAGACCTGGTGTGGCTGTGAGACCTGGTGTGGCTGTAAGTCTGACACCTGGTGCTGCTGTAAGTGAGACCTGGTGTGGCTGTAAGTGAGACCTGGTGTGGCTGTGAGTGAGACCTGGTGTGGCTGTGAGTGAGACCTGGTGTAGCTGTGAGTGACACCTGGTGTGGCTGTGAGTGAGACCTGGTGTAGCTGTGAGTGACACCTGGTGTGGCTGTGAGTGAGACCTGGTGTGGCTCAGTGGTTTGTTCAGCGGGTGGGACATTTTATCCATTCCAAGAGCACCGTCCCAGGCTTTTCCCACAGAGCATCGCTCCACCATCCCAGATTTAACCCAGAAATTAGGAATGCAGATGACTCTTTGTGTCCCCAGTGGCTCCAGCCAGAAACAATTATCCACTTGGCTCATTAAAACAAGTAACAAATGGCTAATTGTCACTACAATCAGCCAAGTGCTGGTTCAGTTACTCGTGCCTAGGAACCAGGAATATAAAGAGGGGTTGGCAAGAATAAAAAGGAATTAAAATTCAGCCACCAATAAATGGTCTATCGTTTTGTTTCTTATTCTCTTCCTTTGTGTGTTTCATACAAAGAGAGGTGCCACAGGGTGACCCCTACGCTCTTTTGTGTCTTCCAAGCGCTGTGGTTCACGGCGAAAGGAGACGCACAGGGCCTTATCCATGCGCAATCCATGCCTTGGACACCCTCCTAGGCTGTGCCCCTCCCCCACCACTGCTGGAAGCCAGGTGACCAGAGGGCCCAACCGCAGGTGTCAGCCCCACCCCACCTAATGGGATTCGCCGCTCCTGTTTCTCCACCCCCCGAAAAGTCTAACAGGACCTGCTTCCCAAACACGTGCTCGCTCGCTCTCCAGATCTCTCTCTCTCTCTCTCTCTCTTTTTCACTCTCTGTCTCTGTAGATCTCTCCCGACGCTCTCCCCCGCCCCGGCCTATGGCAGATCCGCTGTCAATAAACCCTTCCCCTTAGCTCTGGTGTTTGGTGTGTTTTGGGGTGGCCTTACACACAGAAACCTATCCAACAACACTTACATTCTCCTGGAATTCCCAGGAGGGGACAACACGCCCTCCCTACATTTCTAGAAGTTTCCGGAGCCTGACCCGGCTGCTCAGGTCTCAGCCTGCGCTCCTGCCTTCTGTCTTGGCCCCAGGCTGCCACCAGCCTGAGTAATTGGTAAACAACAGACTTTGTTCTTCACCGCACAGAAGGCTGGGAAGGCCACCGAGGAGCCAGCTGACCGGCGTGCCGCCCTCTGTGTGTCCTCACTGGCGAAAGGGCCAGAGTCTCCCTGCAGCCCGGCACAAGGCACTCGTCCCATCCCTGGTGCCGGAACCCTCTGCCCCCACCTCCTCCTAGGGACTCCTCTCCCCACCGCACTGGGACTAAGTTTCCACTGGAAGCAGGAGAGAAATAAAGGTGCCAACCACAGCGCCTCCCTCCGCCGCCGTGGCTGTGCGGGGCTCAGACTTGGGCCTCCTGCCGGGCAGCGCCTTCTTCCCTTGATCCTCTGTGCTGGCACGGAGCTTCATTTTCTGTTTTGCCCCGGTTTCCTGAGGCTTCTGTGCAGCAGTCCGTCTCCAGTGGGGACACCCCAGGAGCCTCGAGCTGGCCATTAAGTTCCCTGGAGGGAGCTGGGCGCCGCGGGGCAGTAGCTGGAGCTGCCCTGGGGGACTCCTGCACCCCATAGCAGAGCTCCGGCTCCCTGCTAATGCACCTGGGAGGCCACAACAACGGTCCAAGTGTTTAGATCCCTGCCACCCGTGTGGATGGAGTTCTGGGCTCCTGATCCAGCCAGGGCTGTTGTGGGCATTTGGGGAGTGAACCTGCGACTGGGAGATCTCTCTCTCTCTCTCTCTCTCTCTCTCTCTCTCTCTGCTTGTCTCTTCCTCTCTGTCACTCTGCCTTTCAAATAGTTGAACACATCTTTAAAAAAAATTAGAAATATTAAATGTATGCATATGTATTATTGAATCTTATATTTTACATCTTTTTTATATTTGGGAATTAAATCGAACAAAACACATTGTGTAGAATGATTCAATTTCGTGCCTTTGTGGAACTTTAAGTGTGCAAGTGCTGTGGGCTGGGTTGGGCCTCAACTCCTATTCCAGGCCCTCACCTCATACTCAGAGAAGCGTTCTAAGTCCAGGCACAAACACAACATGCAAAGTGGTCAAGTTCATTTACAAGGTAGGGAAAACTTGCCTTGTCAAGGTTTAAATTTTCCAAACGCCCATTAGCAGCTCAGAAAGCCAGCAGAGTGGCCAGGACACCCCTCCCCTTGTCATGGGGCTCTGGAACAACCCCTGACCTCTGCAGGCGCTGGTTCTAGTCCTGGCTGCTCCTCTTCCAATCCAGCTCTCTGCTGTGGCCTGGGAAAGCAGTAGAAGATGGCCAAGTCCTTGGGCCCCTGCACTTGCGTGGGAGACCTGGAGGAAGCTCCTGGCTCCTGGCTTTGGATCGGCCCAGCTCCAGCCATTGCAGCCAACTGGGGAGTGAACCAGCGGATGGAAGACCTCTCTCTCTCTCTCTCTCTGCTTCTGCCTCTCTGTAACTCCACCTTCAAATAAACAAATAAATCTTAAAAAAAAAAAGAGTGACACATGTCACTGGTTCGTCACCTCCTCTGGGCAGTCCAGGCATGTGGGGATGAGCTGACTTCCTCCAGGGTGCACCTCGGCCCCTCCCGCTGCAGCAGGTGTCACAACCTTAAGTAGTAACTCACCCACACACAGCTCAGCATTCCTAAGTCACAGTGCCTTAGGCCACCGGCACGTGGAAAGTCAGCCTGATTTTCTTGGAAGGAGTTTCTAGACTGACAGCTGACAGCCAGGGACACAGTGGCATTCTGGGACATCTGGGGGACCTGCCCCTTGGTGCTGATGAAGCTGCTCTCTGTCACACAGCCTAACCGCCATCTGCTGTGACGTCGCCAGCCCCACAGAGGGCGTCTCCGCAGAGGAGGGTGTATTTAAAGGCATTCGACAGCAGCTCTGTCTCTTATTTTTAAAGTGATAAGGAGTCCCTTATCTGATGTACCCAGGAGCGCACGGGGAAACACGAAGTCTGTTAAAAGATACAGATACACTGGGAGTGAAGCAGCGGATGCAAGGCCTCTCTCTCTCTCTCTCTCTGCCTCTCCCTCTGTCTGTAGCTCTACCTTTCAGCTAAATAAACAAAATCTTTTACAAAAATACTGATAAAACACCTTAATGGATAAAAAGTTACAAATAGATATAAATAACCAAAGATACAAATTGCAGAATTTGTTGAAAGTAGAATCACCATTTAAAATAAAAGATTTATTCTACTCAAAAGGCACAGCAAGAACGAGAGAGAAAGAGAGAGAGAGAGAGATCTTCCATCCACTGGTTCACTCTGCAAATGCAGGCAACAGCCGGAGCTGGGCCAGGCTGAAACCAGGAGCCAGGAGCTTCATCCGGGTCTCCTACATGAGAGGCAGTCCCAGGCACTTGGGCCATCACCTGTTGGTTTCCTAGGAGCATTAGCAGGGAGCTGGATAGGAAGTGGAGCGGCTGGGCCTGGAACCAGCGCCCGTATGGGATGCTGGTGTTGCCAGCAGTGGCTTAAGCCACTGTGCCACAAGGATTGCCCACCGTGTTCACTTTTTTTTTTTTTTTTTTGACAGGCAGAGTGGACAGTGAGAGAGAGAGACAGAGAGAAAGGTCTTCCTTTGCCGTTGGTTCACCTTCCAATGGCCGTCGTGGCCTGCGTGCTGCAGCTGGCGCACCGCGCTGATCCGATGGCAGGAGCCAGGAGCCAGGTACTTCTCCTGGTCTCCCATGGGGTGCAGGGCCCAAGCACTTGGGCCATCCTCCACTGCACTCCCTGGCCACA